TTTGAGAATGATGAGGGCAATGAATGTACAAATGTGCTTTACACAATTGATGTATATATGGATTGTGATAAGAATTGTATGAGCCCCTAATAAAACAATTAAAAAAACAAGAAACAAATGAGTTGGAACCCCAAACGAGACTCAGTTCATTGGAATTACAGGTGTTTGTCGACTTTTATGCTTATCTTAGGTTTTATTCAAACTACTTATGCTGAAAATTCTGAGTATGCTTGGATTAAAGAAATGCCTGATCTGCCTTTTCACAGTCAGAATCCACCAAGTTCCAATAAGACTGCTTCACTGGAGCTCAGAGAACGAAAACTGCAAATTTGCCCAAACACAAATAAGGAATGTTAGTTTCTCCATAAACATTTCTAAATAGATAATTACACCAATTATTTTCAAGAGTCCTCCAAGTCAAAGGTAATACATCTGTTTAGAATGAAAACATTCAACAACCATCTGCAACCACCAGTGGATCTCTTCTCTGGAGATGTTTAGTCCAGTCAAGGACTAGTCTTGACCGGGGACGACCAACAGACAAGTGGGTGAAGGAGACGTCAGACAGTGCAAGACATGACAAAATAATAATTTATAAATTTCCAAGGGTTCATGAGAGAGGGTGGGTGGGGAAAAATGAGGCGCTGATACCAAGGCCTCAAGTAGAAAGAAAATGTTTTGAGAACGATGATGGTAACAAACGTACAAATATACTCCGCACAATGGATGTATGTATGAATTGTGAGAAGAGTTGGATGAGCCCCCAATAAAATGATTTAAAAAGGAAAAAGGACTTGCCTTGACGAAGCACATTGTCTTCCTTCTCCTTCAGCGCCAGTGCCATGACCCTGCTAAGTGCCCATACCCCACCTGATTACCTCCAGTCTCCTTGTCCCAATTTAACAGCTTCCTAACCGACTTCGATACGTTTACCTTCTCTGCCAATAAAAACCTATCCCTAATCCTCTCTTACAGTTCAAGGATAGTGTCCCCTAAACCCTTCCTCACTCATTCCCATTCCCCCTTCTGATATGACAACAGCAGAGGCTCTTGGGAGGTCAGTTTATTTACCTATCTGACATCTAACCCTGCCAAATTGGGTATAATCATTTTAATCATGTACTATTCCAAAAAGCCTTGGAGGATTTATTTCAGCTTCTAATTACTGACTCAGATAAAACACATTATAATCCCATTCTGGCCAGTCCCCATGCCCCCATCATCACTCACAGCCTCCTTACATTTTTTAGACAGAGATTACAGTTAGCAAACATTCCGTACTCCTTACCTATAGTTTTCCCTACCTGTACAGCTGCTGTATCCAACATTATCACTACTGTTACCAAATGTGGTTGTGACCCATTCCTCTGGTTCTTAAATGCTTCCTCCCCACCACTATCATGACCTCAATTCTACCTTACAAATCC